ATCTTGGTCAGGGTCGAGTAGGTATAGCCGTGTAATAAGATAATACATAGCAACTTTCTATATCAACTGTATCTCCAACCCACGCACCGTAATCTTTATAGATACTACATACACCAAGTGTAATGTGAAATTTGTCCAGGTGCACCACATCGTAAATAATACAAGTGATCAAATGTGTTAGGATTAAGTACAAAAAATTACAGTTTTGCCGCGTTATAAATCTGATCACTGGAATGACTGTGCTCCTACCTTAAGAAGATGTCGATTACTCGATTACTGTCGATACTGAAAATGTAACGGGGCTTCACGTGCCCTCTGAAAGGTGTGGATCACACTTAAACAAGAAATCAGTACGTGGCTGGACTGCCAGTAGTTATACGTTTAATTCGGTTATACTATTTAGATAGGAAAACCGAAACATTACGATATAGGCGGCTTTGCCGCATATAAAACCGAGAAAGACAGTTTATTAGCCTTGGGTTAAGGTTGTGATTGCGACTTTTTACAATCGTACTGGTTCTAAGTATAGAACAAAGTCACCGACCTTCACCAAGCTTCCTCTAAGCAAAAAAGATATGACAGCCACGTTGCAGAAGAGCCGTTCCTACCGGACATATGGCTTGGGTGCTCGTCGAGGGGGCCGAGGAGAACAATGCAATTCAACTGAGCAAAGCCATTCAACCCGCTGCCCATGGTTGACAATCTAACCCTCAGAGAGCGAAGTTTGTACCCATTGGTGCAAACAGCACTGGCGTCAGATCGTATGTGAGAGGGACCGAACTCTTTGCACCATGTTTTAGATGACATAGACAGTGTTGCGGCTTGCAGCATACGCAAACAGGGGAGTCACACAGGTCCATATTCACATAGATGACTATCGTAGTGTGTGAGGGTTTGCGTGATCGCTAACTCGAGCAAAGAGCCGCATGTCCGAGGATTCGTCATGGCAACAGGTCGATAGTTCATGCCGGAGTGTACCCCTATAAGGTGGTATCGTAAGCGTAGTTACATTTCGAGCCGCAGTTGCGTACGAAAGCGTAAGAAAGTATTAGATTTGCCCGTGCGGCCACTATTCTATCACAAAATTGCGAACGTAAGTGTGTTTGGATCTCTTAACCATGTAGTTTTAAGCTGATCCCGACATCGCACAAAATCTAATTCGGGACGCGCAAAATGTAAATTGTACACAATATACGATACGCGGAGTCGAGAAAGGAATAGTACAGTAGTTTCTTGTAGTACCAAACTTTTGCTAACTCCAATTTTTCAATTTTTCAAACTTACACAAAAGTGTGATGTAAATTTCTCTGACTGTACAAACCCGTAGTTGCAAAAGTGCACAGAAGGGAATGATGTACGTACAAAACTGACCCCATTACATCATCTTTCGCCAAAATGTGAGTCATACAGGGGCCAATACTTCATTCTCTTAATGTTGCACAAAAGAGAGCGCTAAGTAGCACAACTTCGATTAAAGTTCCACTCCGCTCCTTACGCGCTGTAATGCATTTTTCTTGAGGCATATTTGCATCGGTTGTCTTAAAATACACCCAAAATCATATGGCTCAGCAAGCCTCCAGGAAGGTGCGATCGTTGTGGCCGAGCTATTCTCGATGAGGAAACCGAGGTGACCTCAGATGTCGCAATCGTAGCAAGTCTTCGAGGCCTGATTTATCACCTTCGCTCTCATCTAGAGAAATGAGACCGAGACGATCGCATGGAATAATGCGTTCTGTTTGGTCCAGCCCTACTTAACTCTACCATCGTTGTTGGGGACATGCGAGCGTAGTTTTACAGAGCTATGAGCCCCGCATAGAGCTCAAATATACCGACTTGAAAACCAATACTTTATTATTTTATGTGTCCAGCAGTCCCATCATGACCAAAGCTAAAAACGCTGCGCTCGATAGCTTGAGCTTTTCTTGGTGATCTAACAGTAGATATATTCCACGAGACATGTTTTACCCTCCGACGAAAAAGGTGGAAAAACAAGGCGTCAAGCGTGCAAATATGTCGGTTTTAGGCATAAGTGATTGAGTCTTATCATCGAATAGAGCGTAAGAAAATTAGAAAATGTATCGTAGAGCTGTGGCTTATGGTTTTGCATTTCATTCGTCCTAAAATTCAAATGGGTCTCAATCAATATTTGTTGCATCCTTATTACGATTGTCATGAAGACAAAGCCAGAAAAATAGACACCGAAGCGACCCTCACATATAAGTTTCCAGTTTTGGCGACAATGTATGTCTTGGATCGATGTACAATAGCCCAGTAGCAAATTGCACGTCGAGTGAGACAAGACTTCGATAGTTATCAGAGATGAAGGCGCACTAGAATCGGGAATGGAGCGCTACATGATCGCAAGTTTGAACGAGCCAAAAATCTCCGGGAAACATGATGTGCAAGATGTGATCAATTTGATCGAAAATACGTCATCGAGATACTTTGGTAGAACCACATGATTTGGAATGATGTCTTTAATTTGCAGGTACTACCTGAGAGGATGATTTGTGATATAAATTGTCCTTCCACCCAAGATGAGTTTTGATTTGCATAACGAGTGGGTGTTTTAGCCCGAATCTAACAGAAGGAAGAAACTGTAAAAATAACGCAGCTGGTGGATTGTATCCGGGATGGGTTATATCTGCTTTTGGTAACATTTAGGGCTAAACGTTGTCCAGGACACTCTAGTATTTGCCAGGAGGTAGAATACACGTTGGGGCAAGCAGGAAGACGAAGATTAACAACCTATAAAAACACTGAAAGATATTAATACACCGATTTCAACTGAAAGTTCCAGGTGCACGCAATCTGGCTTTGAGTTTAAAAGAATCCCTGCACGATTTCAAGCAACATGAATTTAGCTATTTGATCCAAGCTTCTTTACGTGAAAGCGCGAAATTTGCAACGATCAGACTTCATAACGCCGTGATTGTGGAGCGTGCAGATTCTTGCTTAGATATAGAAATTGTTGCTTATAAGTCGCCGACAAGCACTTTCTGATTCCGCAGGTCATTACTTCTCAAAATTCCAGTGCAGCGGATGCAAACATTCCGTATTATCCATGTGGACTGTCCCTTAAGGACCGACTGCTGGGGAAAGTGATGATGGGATCGCACTCTATTTGCGCTCTTGGTGAGACTGGCGCACCGCCTCACCCGCTCGACAGCTTTGTCAGCCAGCTTCGGCACAGCAGACTTTCGATTGATACGTTGTTCTATGCTTAAATTTGCAATGTACAAAGCACATTGCGAAAGTACTCGCCACCTCGAGTTCTATTTGTCAACAGCCTTGCCTATAACTATGAGTCTGCTGCTACAATTGACAACCAAGTTTTGCAATCTGGAACAGTGCTGGGTCCCACTCGTGCGTCGAAAGTGCGTTGCGCTTGGCAACAGTGTCTCTGTGCCTGGGAAATACGTTTCGAGGCTGCGCCGCTACAAAAGCGTTAACGGTGAAGGAGAATCGTGCTATCGGATACTGCCCTGATGGTCCCACATACAAGCCGACCAGCCCTTACTTACCGACTAGTTTCGGCAAATGACGACCGCCGTGCGGTGATTCCTCGCAGCTATGGCGACACACCGACTCGCTTCAAATGTCCCGTAAATCGGCTTACAATGAAATTATTCACAATCTGGTGCGCTCTCTGAGCAACGCAATCTTACGATGGATTGAGAAATCCCATGCGGATCAGAGCCGTACTACTGTCCTGAAGAAGAAAATATTTATCTGCAAGAAAGTGTGAGGACGTTATGCCGTCTTTAAAAGATCAATTCACCGCTGACTAGCTCGTAAATGCGGGGTTATTGTGTGGCTTCAACAAGACACGTGAAGCAAAGGTTGTTCGCATTCTCTGTGAAAACTTGAGCGCTATCATTTCCGATTTGGGTACGATCGTGAGTGATCTGATGTAGCGAAATTGAGACTCGGACTAGTAGACTGCGACCACTGAATGTATTATTAAGTCAACGGGGTTTAATCTTTTCAACCGCTTTAAGTTCATGTGAGTTTCTCCTTCCTCTAGAATTTGTGCGTCGCTTTGGTAACACTGTCTCTTCGCCGTAGCGTTAGGCACTCGGGGTGTGACGGTCAAACTTGTCATGAGTAAATTTTTAGCGTTGCTATGTGGTGGAGCCAGGGTATTTTCCCAAGTCAAAACGAATGGATCTTCCACCCAAAAACCGGGGTCGCCGCGTTGTGGTGCCAAAATATCACGAGGAATGCCCTATAACCGAATAACAAGTCTGACGAGGCATGTACAGCGTTTTTTAAAGCAAACTCAATCGATTGAAAAAATCAGGTCCAGGATTTGATTATTCGGTCTCTACTCGCGGTGGTATAAGTGATATTCTCCGCTACGCTATAAATGTGTTCCGTCTGACCATCCGTCTGTGTATGGTCACTGAAGGACTATTCTTCTGGGGTCTAGCACCTTAGACACAGCATTAAAAGCCTTCGATTTATATTACATATCTTGCTCCGAATCAATTGCCACCGGTAATTCATGTTGGCGAAAGACGTGGTCGTGGCACAGCTTGGCTCTATCTTATCGGTAATGGTTACACTGACAGCAGCAGCGTGGTTCATCTTGCTAAACGGTCCCAAAGACCACCATATTAATGTAATCGGATGCGTATTACGAAGATTCAAAGTAAATTATGTGCATATGAAATTTTAGTATTTGGCGGGAAATGACAGACTGACAATAGGCGCTGACGAATGCGTCGAGGGCTAAACTCCTGACACGTTAAAAACATGCGCACAAAGGTACGGTGTTCCTAACACATTTCGCTTCTATCTCTTCTCTTCTCCTCTTTCAAGTTCGGCCATCAGACTACAGTGCCCACTTAGCCATATGTTTTTCTCCGAGGTGGCTATCCAATAAGGTCATTTTGTGGTTTGTACTTGAAGTTTTCGTGATGAAGTGCAGCCACATGTTGCGTTAGTGCTGCAATGCAGCAATCTTAAATATCGAATACAAATGCCAATGAGTCTCAAGGTATTGATAAAGCGGTATCTGATTCCAATAATACCTCGCTTCACTATGCTTTCAGCAACGGACAAAGGCTGGGTCCGACCCAAATGTTGTACTTATCGCCTCATTGACGCTCGTCGATATCATCAGGGCATGTGATTGCTTAAAGCCAAAACAACGCGAATGTGTATCCGTCACCGCAATTAGCCAACTCGGCTTTGTATTTGAAGTTTTTGGCAACGACGACGACCATCATGATATTATTTTCGAAAATGTGGTGACGACGGCATTGTGCGCAGCGCCGCATGATCTTAATAGATCACAAATGTTACTAGACTAAGCCGGTCTCCTCGAACTTAAAAAAACATACATCAAAGCAGGTAGCTTTGTGTCAAAAGCTGCGTAGTTCTTCTCTACTGCTTTATGCTAGCTAAATCTAAGCGTGGATGCGTTCATGTTCATTGGTGATTACCTAGAGTATTCAAAGCCGCACAGACAACATGACCTGACAGATCGGGGCACTCGTAAAGTTTTCTGCCACGGACTTAAAGGCCGCCTTTTCGACCGCAAATCCAGCATTATTTGGCAAAAAATGTAGACTGGAATGGGGTCATCCCACAAGAGTTACTTTTGCAAGAAACTGGTTGGGCAAATGCATTTCGGTGAGTTCCTTTACAGTAGTAACACTGACCAACCTACATTGGCCTTGACTACTGGTGGATCTGCCTGTAGATTCTGCTTCCGGACAAAAAAACAAGAGAAAAATAATCGTCGGCGCCAGAGACAAACTTGTCAATGTTGGTGAACATTCCCTTCTTAACAAATACACTCGGGACATCCAGCAAGTGCGTAATCTGGACTTCAACATCGAATTTTCCGGACTCTGCAAGACTATGGGAAAAATCGTTAAAATAGATATGTGCATAGACAACAGGTGCGTTACTAAATACTGTTGCTGGCGTGAGGTGCCAGCGCTCCTGAGGCACAACCAGTCATCTCTTTGACAGTCCGTACGAAGCATGTTTTGTAGCGAGGAAGATGTCACTAGCACTTAAAATCCTTATCAATTGCCATCAGCACTGAAGCCGATCCCATTGTTCTGCAGCGTATCCGCTATCGAAAATTAAGGTTGCGCCTAAAAACTATGTTTTAGCTGTTTACAGCCACGCGCTACCCGTCCTTTTCTGTCAGTCTTTTCATTACAGGTTGCCGGCGCCGAGAAGGGAAAATTACTGTCTCCGATCGAGCCCTTATTGCTTTGCACAAGATTGCGTCTGTAACGTTCCACTATTTTCTTGTTATGTCCATTATCTTGTAACTCATTATTTGATTTCAGAAACCAAGCTTATTATAGGTCTCACTCCACAATCCGAAGGCAACACGCGTGGGTCTTTTGCCACGTCGTGATGTTCATTTAACAAAGTTTATAGGAATATAAAGGATCCATAATGATGGCCGTCTCATTCCTCTCACTCATGGA